GCTGCCTGCCTCTGTGTTTTACCCTGAAACATATTTCACTGATCTGTTGCCTTCAGAGTGACTCACAAATACTGTACATACAAGATCAGACCCCAATGGCTGATCAGCCCTCCTCCCAGCAGAAGCTTTGCAAAACTGCCAACTTGTGACATAAGAGTCATTGTCCAGAAACATGACTGGGCATGTTTATCTCTTTGAAGGGATAAACATTACAAGGTCTTCTGATAGAAGGGAAGAGGGAACAGCCATTTCTTAAGCATCTATTATATGCCAATATTATCTCATTTAATCCTTACAACAACCCTGGGAAGTAGGTGCAATTATGACCCCCATTTTACAGTTGGGGAAACTGAGGCAGACAGAGTAAGTGACTTTCCCAGGGTCATATATCAAGTAAGTATATCTGAGGTCACATTTGAATTCAGGTCTTTCTCACTCTAAGCCCAGAGCTCTATTCACTGTGCCACCTGGCTGCTCAAGATAGCAGGAGTTTGAGGCTACCCTATAAAAACCTAAGAAGCAAAAGTTTTTAAAGATAAGTCAGAATTGAAGAGTTGAGAGTAAATGATAAAGAAAAAAGTAGTTTAAGGAAGAAGTCACAGATTTAAAGCTGGAAAGGACCTATCTGAGACGTTAGCTAGCCCAGCCCCCTCATTTCACTCTGAATCCCACGCTCTTTCCACTGTACCAGGCTGACTTAAAGGTGAGGTATAGGAAACATGATCAGGAACTTAACCTTGTTCTCTAATAAAGGCAGCTCCCAATTATACTTCCTCAAAGATAAATATTGTTATCTCCCACAAAGACTAACCTAGCAGGGTCTCATTTTTTAACTTGTCTGCAGCATTTAGACCTTTTTATCTGTGCGAATTGCTTTCAAGAGCTATTTTTACTCTCCCTATACAATTATATTATTTATGGTGGGAAAGCTGAGTCAGAAAACTGTGGCTATTTGAAAACAGTCTTCATCCAAAACGCTGCATTAAGAGAATCATAGCTTCCTGGAATAAGGAGGTGAGGGTGCAACTGTACTTCACCCTGCTCAGGATACATCTGGAGGACTGGGTTCAGTCTTGCTCATCAGAGTTTAGGAAGACTGAAAGCATCAAGAGAAGGGAAAGCAAGAGAGTGAGGGTCCCAAAATTCAAGCCATAGGAAGACTACGTGAAGAAATTAGGCATATTTAGCCTAGAGAAACGCCTTGGGGGAAGGTGCAGGGGACACACATGATTCCTGTCTTCCTTCTTGAACGGCTGTCATGTGCAAGAGGGATTAGACATGTTCTAATTTTATTCAAAGGCCTAGAATAAAAAGCAATTAAAAAGCAATTTGTGGAAAAGGAAAAAAGGAAAATCTAATCTTTATGTAAGGAAGAACTCCCTAATGGTGAGAGCTACCCCAAAATAGATTGGGCTACCAGTCTGGGAGGCAGTGGGTTATCCCTCTCATTGGAGGACTTCATGTAAAAGGCTAGACTGTTATATTAATTATGATGTAGAACAGGGGTGTCAAACTTAGTATCTGCTACCTCAAGCACTCATCAAAACCCCTAGTGCTGCAGGACCCAGATTAAAATGTAATTGGGAAATGTTTGAAAAAAGAAATAAAAATATAATATGACATAAATGATTTTGCTTTGTGGTTTTCTCAGTCAGTAGGTGGCCTACAGGCATCTGTTTCCATTTGAATTTGACAGCAGGGACACAGAGGAAATTCTTGTTCAGGTATGGGTTGAACAAACATAGGTCTAGCCACATCCCTCCCCTGCTCTAGAATCTGTAGGGGTTCCCTTTTGCCTCTTGATTAAAATGCAAACTCTTCACTTTGGCATTGAAAGTTCTTATGAACTGGCTTCAGCCAGCCTTTCTAGACTTTCTGCATTACTTCCTTTTACATACTCTCTGCTACAGAGAAACTGGCCCAGAAATTGGAGTTTCCTCTTTTCTATCATGCGTCTTTGCGCAGGCTCTCTCCCCTACGCCTGGAATGTACACCATTCACAACCTCTGAATTTTAGAATCCATAACTTCCTTTAAGTCTCAGCTCAGCTCTACCTCCTACAGGAAGCCTTTCCGGATTCCACTGGTTATGAGGGCTTTCTCTCTTCTCAAATTGTCTTGTATTTACCTATCTGTTTACTTGTTTGTATGCCCTAATAAGATACAAGCTCCAGGATGGTGGGGCTGTTTTTCATTTCAGTCTTTGAATCCCTAACACATAGCACAATGCCAAGGACATTCTTTCCTTGTTTTTGTCCATACTTATTATTTTGTTGGCATAGGGAATACCTGGTATGGAAACTCCCTCTATCAGTGCAGATCAGCAACTTGACTGTAACTTATATTCTTAAAGAGTTACAAAGTGCAAAGGATATTGGTTTTGGAGTCAAAGAATCAGATCTTGCCTCCATCACAGTTTCCTCATGTGTAGAAAAAGAGTGTTATCTAGATGATCTCTAAGGCCCCTTCCCATTCTAAATATACAATTCTAAGGGTTACCTGGGCTACTGAAAAGCTAAATGCCTGGTCACCCAGGTGACCATAAACAGGCCCATAGCTTCAAAGAATTTCCTCTGGGGCAAGGACACTGAGGTGAGTGTGATAGCAACCACCCCAACTACCTATGCAGTTGTGTTAGGAGAAGGAGTACTTTAGCTCTCTTCCTGAGTCACTAGTACTGTAGAAGGTGCAGGAAGGAAATCTGAGCTCTGAAGGAGTAAGTAAATTGCCCTTCCAATAACAGAGCCTAGGAACAAATTGCCTCTTGCTCCATGCTAGTGAAGGCTCTGATGAGGACTTGGACCCATGGTTTTCTACTTCCAGGTACATCTTAAAAATAGTATCATCTTAATAAATGCTTATTGAATTGAATTAACCTCAAGTTCCCCAGCTGCCTTCTACCTTGATGTTTCCTTTTAGGAGCACAGATTAGCAACTAGCAATCCAGAGAAATGGGCAGTTTCCTCATAAGTAGAGCTAGCAACAGTTGCCTAGAAGAAAGTTCCTTTGTCAGCAAGCTTTTGAAAGACCACCACCAGGATCACCTTGAAGCTAATTGGAAGCCACCTCCCTGCCCCCCCAAAAAAAGAAAGTCATGCCATAGCAGGCTAGGAAAGCTAGACCTTGTGAGATGCTCTGACAAGGCAGTCTGAAGTAAATGAGAAAGGTCTGTTCAGCAGTGGCACAAAATTGTGTTTACCTCTGGAGGAGTATAATGAGTGTCAGGCATGATTTGAGTAGTGTATGTTTTCTGTATTTGTTCTTGAGGGTTCTGAGTCCCTGTGGTGTTGTGTTAAGCAGTTTCTGTGGTAGAGGAAATAAAAATCCTGTCCCATTCACAGAAAGAAAAAAACATAGAAATTAGAGTGAAGTCTAAAAGTACCCTGGAAAGGAGGGGGTTCCGTAGGCCTGAAGTAGATAACAAGTCTCTGACTGTGTTGCTTCCTCAAGAGGCATAGTTTCACAAATCAGCAAAGAGCATAAGCTCCCCCACCCCTTGAAGACCTGTTCTGATTGCTCCAGGGAGAGGGAGAGGGACAGGGAGAAAAGGGCCCTCTTCCACATAGCTGCTAAGCGGCAGCACAGGACTCTTCCTGCTCCAACCTCTCTTCTTCCTCCTTCTCCTCCACCTCTTTTGTTTCACTTTTCAAGTACTGTTTCCTGTCTACCAAAGAGATAGGAGGAGTAAGAGATAGGGGAGAGCCAAAATAATCAGGTGTCCTCTGAGATCCCTTCCAACTATGGGAAGTTATGTGTAAAGAGACTGTATGAAGATCAAAATAATCCCCCATTAAACTAAGGGCTTCTCCAATCACGAGGGATACCCATCAATTGGGGAATGGTTGAATAAAATTGCAATGGAATACTATTGTGCTATGAGAAATGATGAGGGGGTGGTTTCAGAAAAATCTGGAAAGCTGTACGTGAACTGATGCTGAGTGAAGTGAGCAGAACCAGAAGAACATTGTACACAGTAACAGCAATTTTGTAAGGATGACCACCTGTGAAAGACTTAGCTTCTCAGATCAATACAGTGATCCAAGACAATTTAAAGGACTCTTGATGAAAAATGCCGTGCCCTCTCCAGAGAGAGAACTGATGAACTCTGAGTGCAGACTGAAGCATATTGTTTTTCACTTTATTTTTCTAGCCTTTTTTCCAAAATGGTTAATATAGAAATATGTTTTGCAAGATTTAACATGTTTAATGAATATCATATTGCTAGACTTCTCAATGGGTGGGGGAAGAACTGGGGGGGGGGAGAGAGAGAGAGAGAGAGAGAGAGAGAATTGGGAAAATTAAGAAAAAAAGACCATAAGACATTAGTTCCTGATCAAATTGAAGAATTCTCCCTAACCTTCAGAGAGTGGACACAGCTTGATGTTTAATATAGGCCATGAGTACGGGTGGCTGAACTTGAGTTTGCCAATCACTAGGAGTTGCTTCTGTCCTAATTGTTGACTTAAAACAATGTCCCCCTCAAAAAAAATCTGGACAACTTGGGAAACTTCTTTAATTTGATCTTTTGGTTGGAAAGATAGGGGAGGGAGAGGAAGAGGATCGGAGGAGAGGGGAGGAGAGGGACAGGGACAGGGAGAAGAAAGGGACAGGGCACGGGAGACGAGAGGCAGAGACCAGTTTCGTGGTGACCACAGGCGCAGCTGCCTCTCTGTCAGCAGCTGCTCCTTGAAGGGCCGAAGAAGAGGAGGAGAAGGAACCTGGGGGTGGAAAGGGGGAGAGGGGAGAAGAGATCTTCCTTCCTGGTTTAAAGTTTCCACTGGTGCGAGGTTGTGCAACTGCGAAGGGTGCTGTAGCAGTGGCAGCCACCAAAACAAGCCGAGCCCATAAACAAAGCCACGTGTCCTCCCAGGCCGGGAGGCAGGGCTAAAAGGCAGGCAGCTCTTCCGGCAACAAAGAGCAGCCGCCAGCGGGCCCTTGATAAATACTGCGGCCCCAGCGTCCAAGTCAGACTCCCTGGAAGGAGCAACGGACACCGAAGCTCCGTACCTCCTTCTTCGCCCCTTGCTGCCCCCGGTCTTCCGAAAGCCCACCAGGCCAAGGGCAGACAACTTTCCTGGCCCCCACACCCCACACCTCATCCTCCTCTTTCTACGCCCCCCTCCATCCCCAGGCCAGCACGACCCAGCGCATCCCCTAGCGTCCCAGTCTGCGGCATCCTCCGGGTACCTCCTGCCCGAGGGTTCTCCGAGCGCCGCGCGCTCTGCAGGCCGCCGGGCAAGTCCAGGTGCATCGCATTGCGTGTAGTCGCTTCTAGTCCCGTCCCGTCCTCCCGGCAGCCGCTCCCTGGCGCGATGCCATTCCTCGGGCAGGACTGGCGTTCCCCGGGACAGAACTGGGTGAAGACTGCGGATGGCTGGAAGCGGTTCCTGGACGAGAAAAGTAGTGGCTTCGTGAGCGACATCAACAGGTGAGGGGAATTCCTCTTCTCCAGCCCCCTAGCTTCTTCCTTCTATCCTATCCCATCCTGTCCTGTCCCGTTCCGTTCCGTTCCGTCCCGTCCCGTGCAATCCAGACAGCGCTCAGAACCTTGCTGTGCAAGCGCTCTTGTCTAGCCGGGACGTCCACACTCCATGATCCTGGTCCCTCATTGGAGCTGGGGAGAGGAAGGTACGATCCTGATGCGAGAAAATTGGGGGTGGATCTGGGACAGCGGGGACGCAAGGGCGCGCGGGGAACGTAGCTCAGCTTAGCCCTGTACAAGTGTTTGGAAGTAATGTGTAAGGTTGGAGGGGAGGAGGGGGTTTTGAGAGTCATCTGTGCCCCATGGAAGACATGAGATAGAAATCATAAAGATGGCATTTTTACTTGAAAGGCTTGACTCTCATGGCCTGAGAAGCTAGTTTAGATGAAGCGCAGATTTTGTCTGTTTGCGAGATCCAAGGCGCAGAGAGCAGCCGCGGGCTGCTCGGCTGTGCCCTGCGTTCTAATGTTTTCTGGGCTCAGTTCTCAAAAGAGATGTGACACCGCGGGCAGGTACGCGGGGCCGGCCTTGGCGGAGCGCGCCCGTCCTATCTCTTCTCCAGCCTTTTCTGCTCTTCGGTGCAGAGTAGGAGGCGGAGGAGAGGGGAGGAGAGAGGGGAGCCAGGAAGCAGCCTCCAGCCTTGAGGATGGAATCTGGGATGGCCAGCTGATCCCACGGGAAGGGGTGCTCTTAATGGCTGTGCTTGTAAAGCAGGGGGTGATTGGAGGGAGGGGCAGCATCTGCACCTGCTTCCTCAGCTACCGTCTTGTGTTTGTTTAATGTCTCTGTAGTGATTTAAAATATATATATCTATATATATATATATATAGATATATATATTTAAAAGGGAGCCCATCTGAAGAAAAAAAAAAGACCACTAACCTTCTGTAAATCTCTCTCATTCCAAGTCCACACCTCATTTGTTCTGGGGAGAAAAATATGCCATCTGTCTTCTGCTGAAAAGATTCACCTTGTTATACTGATAACCAGAAATCCTATTCAAATAGCTCCTTTTTCTCACCACATGTGAAGTGTAGGTAGTAAAGGCCTCTGTCTTACAGATGAAAAAACAGGCCCACAAAGCAGTGAAGTGATTTTCTCAGGGGTCATACAGCTAATGAGTGCAGGAGCTAGGACTTAATCCCAGATATTCAGACTCTGGAGTTCAGACTTCCCTGTGTTACAGTTAATAAAAAGGATTATAAGATCATAGATTTCCAACTGGAAAGAATTTTAGAGACCATCCTATCTCTTTGGAGGAGGGTGGGGGAGGCTGGATCTATGATTTCGGCAGGTGGGGAATTCCCAGTGTGCATACTCCCTACATCAATGAATATCTGCCACTCATCAGTCACTAAATCATCAGTTACTGGGTCACTAAAAGGTTAAGTGACTTGTCCATGATCACAAAGGCAGCATATGTCACAGGAAGGTCTTCCTAACTTCAAGACTGGTGGGTCCTTTTTTCAACTATGTCATGCCGAGGAAACTAAGCCAGAAAAGGAATGACTTGCCTTAGGTCCTACAGGTAGTAATGGCTGAGCCCATTTATGTGGCCTAGAATATCTTGGGAGCCCTGAGCCTCAACTGAATGTTTTCACAAACCATCCCACTGAACAGAAGGAAAAGAGGGTTGGAATTGAGCCTGTTGCCTGTGAAGAAGTATACTGCCTCAATATGGTCCCCAAGTTTAGTTATAATAGGTGATCTCCAAGGAACTCTGCAGCTCTTAAATTCTTTGATTCTGTTTTCACCTATCTTTCAGGATGGTTGTGAGGATAAAATGAGATATTTGCTAAGTGCCCCAAAAACCTTAAAGTGCTCTATAAATAAATGGCTATCATTATTATCATGATCATTATTATTATTCTTCCCTTTGCCCTTATGTTCAGTTAAACCCAGCATCTTCAGTCCTTTCCATCAGTTGGAGATGGGGAGTTGTCTCTCTGAGCCAGGTTTCTAATTATTCAAGCCTTTGAAATGGTTGTTTTGGATGAGTGCTTGGCACCCAATCCTAAGAAAACTATCGGGAAAATGTGGTTATTTTGAAGGCTTAACCTCCAGAGCCCCCCATCTGTTTGTTGTTTGTAACAGATCAACCTCTCTTTGTCTTGCAAGAAAGAAGGACAAGTTATTTAATCTGGGGGGTTAGAGAAAGCGAGAGGCACAAGCTATATTGATTTTTATTTTGTAAAAATACATGGGGGTAGTCACAAAGGGAGTCTACTTGGGAGCACGATTAAGAAATCTCTTGTTTATGAAAGATCCGATAACAATTTAATTACAAGGAAAACTATCCTAACTGGTGTCCTCTTTCTCTGATACCAAAGTCCATCTTATAGGAACTCAAGTTACAAAATGTGTGTTGTCTCACAATTTTTTCTTCTCATTAGATGCTTCCCTCCAACCCAGGAAACTTTCTCTTTGTCCATTATTTTAGCACTAGCTTCATTTCTGAAGAGTGTGTAAATTGACTTTTTCTTGAGGAGTAAAACATTCTTCAGGCGGTACCCATGGGGTTCCTCATCTCTCTAAATAGAGCCCTCTGCCTATATCTACCCCTCAGTGGAGAGAAGGCTGTTAGTTTCACCTGTCCTTACATTCCTGTGCTAGGTAGGTTTCTAGCCTCCGATTGAATTGCTCCGAGTGAAACTTTTCCAGTTTTTCTCCACCTCCACCCCCTCTGGTTTTTGTGAACGCTCTTACTGTACCTCGTCTGGAAGATAAGTTGGTATCAGTCTCCCTTAGGAAACAGTGGGTGCCTCTCTCCTATTGGTGTGGAGGAGCCTGAAGGGAGTTTCAGTTTACCAGAAAAGCTCAGATCCAGGCCAGGATCAAATGGCCACCCCTTAAGCCCACTTTGTTCTCCCTTTCTCCTGTCTTCCCCGTCCCTGACCAGCACCTTTCCCATTGGCCTGTCCAAGCCTGATGAGAAGGTGATCAGGCGACCCTGCTGAAGGTCCCTTGCATGAGTCAGAGCCTGGGATCTTTTTGGTAGCCCTAAAGCAGCTGGCTGTTAGCACTTAGCTGTTTGTTTTTACTTCTTTTTTTTTTTCCCATCTGTAAACAACTCCGGTCCTCCCTGCTCAGAATGCAAAGACTGCCAGCCTCTTAAAGGCATTTTTGGCCTTTAGGGGCCAGGCTTTGGAATCTCAAATGTCCCCACTGTTTTCAGGGCCCTACTGACTGAGTTATCTGTGATGTCAGGTTTGGGCTGGGTGCCTAGGCAGGTGATGGTTTCTTCCAGCTCCTGTAGAGAGGAAACAGAAGGTAATCCCTTTAAAAAAAAAAAAAAAAAGACCTATCTGTAGGGTGACACAAAAGCCTTGGTAACCTCCCCAATTCCACTTAAATTTTTGATGAGCAGATGAAGTAAGAGGCCATGCACGGTTGATGTGGTAACAGTACAGATTTTCTGGCCCCGGGTCAAGCATTCTGACAGTGTTCCAAGGGCCCAGTCTCACTCCAACAGCCAAATGCCAGTCAGTCAACTTACAAGCAGTTTGGTCTGGTGGAAAGAACACTGAATTTGGAGTCAGAGAACTTGGCTCCTGCAACAGCCCTTTAAAGACTGAGCCTCAGTCTTCTTATCACTTAAAATGGGACCTAAATGGTTGTACTGACTCATGGGGTGGTCATGAGAAATAGGTGAGTCAGTGGATGGGAAGAACCCTCTTAACCTGGTGGTGGCTCGGACCCCCTTCTAGACATGTGACATTATTTGAGCATTGGGAAGGAAACCTAAAGGGCATCAGAACCAATCATCTCAATTTACAGGTGAGGAAGTTGTGTCTCAGAGACATGATGTCACATGCCCTAGGTCATACAGGTAGAAAGTGGCAAAGCCTTTCAAAGCTAGATCCCCTGACTCCAAATACAGTGTTTTTTCCACATTACTATACTGCTTCACATCACTAAACAAATCTGTGCCTCAGTTTCCTCATCTGTGATATAGGGATAATAATATTGGCATGGCCTACCTCATAGGGTTAAGAGAAACATATTTTATAAATGTGAGTTACTGTTATGTTAGTGTGCCAGTTATGGGCCCAACATGATGTTGGGTCTTGGAGAGTGGTATATAACAGAAGTAACATGGTTTTTTGCCTATGCTACTCATGCCAGGGATACCATGAATATTCAAGTGACCTTCTATCTCTTTCCATTTCTTCAGTTTAATAATTATTAATTAGATTGATTGGATTGGATTCTTCTGTGATCTTTGCCTCATTTTTTGGCTTTGAAGAGTCAACTGGGCAGCATGGTGGTATTTGGATAAATTTGTCGGCAGTGCTTAGTGGAGTTAGGCCTCACAGGTTATAGCCTGGCCTAGACAATTACATATCTAAGTACATTTTAAAATCACACTGGGAGTTTGTAAAATGGCAGAGCAAATAGACAAAGGAGAAATGGGGCTTTCGTCAGGGCTCATTTTTTCCCCCTTACTTATTCCCCTTTACCTCTACAGCTGTAGTAGACTCATCTTGCCATCTTTCCCACTTTTCTCTAAAGTCTCCTTAAAGTATCCTGTCATGTAAAAAAACCAGTTGCCCTCATTATAGATCACTGCCCACAAAGGTTGGGAATAACTAATGCCGACGGCTAGCATTAAAATAGCCACTAAATCTGCCGTGCCTTCATTTACAACGCATGGAGAAAGAAGCTTTACACAATGGTTCTGCTGATTTCAGATTTTGGAAAAACAAATAAAAATACTGTGGTTCTTAAAGTGTGGTGTCTTTTCTTGGGGAGGGGGGAGGGAAATCCTTTCGTAATTTTCCATTGGCTTTCAATTTGCCTGAAACGGACATAATTGAACTCTTAAAATAGCATAGAGCTGAATATATTATTGCTTAAAATATAAGCAGGCAAGACAAATAAACCTCATCGCTTTTCCCATCCTGTCCCTACCCCCTGGAGTCCGAAAGCTAATACTGAGTGAAAAT